TGAGTATAAATGATTAAATGTATTTATGCACATCATGTGAATGGTTACCAGAATTTGGAAATAAAATATGGTGATTGAAATTTTTGCGATCATTTTCCCGCTTAGATAGCGAAATAGAGTTTAACAGAAACAGTTACATTTGTAGAAATGGTGCTCAGGGCTCGAGTAACAGCTACATGTGAAGTTATTGTACTAGAATCTAAAGCTTGTGTCATTATTTCTCCTGGAAATCAAGTCTCGTTCTCTTTCGGTTTATGATGTTTCCAAGTCACTCTTAAAAATACGTTATTCTCGATTCCACAACATCATTACGAGAGATGGTTTTGTCAGCTTTGTGACTCTTTACAGTGTCCAATTTACATTATCAACCCAGTTGATAAAAGAAAGTCACCTTATGTGAAATCAACCTTTGAAATCAGACGCACTAAATAAAACAAGCTATAAATAAATTCACTGAACTCACTTACAAATGAAAGAAATGTGTCGCAATTGGAAGGGAGAAATACGAATTATACCTTGGGAGTTTGTAAAAGGTTTAAAATATGCAAACTTTGCCTTTTTCAGCCAGCATACGAGTGCACGATAGAATTGGAAAATAAACAAAAGGGAAGGGATTCTATACATTTCCCAGAAAACTTTCACAGGCAAAAAGCACTTCACGTTATTTTACTAACTAAAGAACCTTAAGCAGTCTTGAAGGTACAACCTATGCTTTTCCCTTTGAAAAAGGTTGTATTTATTATATAGGTGGCAAATTCACATATAATGCCTCCAAAACCTACGTCTCCTGTTCACTTCGAACGAATAATTCCAGATTAGTCCCAACTCTGGCGAGTATAATCTGTGACGTCAGGGGATGTAGAATGATTTAAGTGTGACGGGGAGTAGACTGGGGATGACCTGAGTCAGACAGGTGATCTACCTCTAATGTGGTATCACTCAAACCAGTGTCCCATATTAAGATGTTTTGCTTACTAAATAACGTAAAGTAAGATCCCGTATGTGCAGCTTAAACCAGTGCATACACCCATCATATAAACTACCCGTCGAATAAGCTCAGTAAGGCTTTAATTATTGTCTCTGTTTCCGTCAAGTACAACCATTTGAATAAACAAGGCTTAACAAAAACTGCTTAAATTTACCTTACCAATGACAAAAGCATCTATCTGTAATGCAACTGCAACCGTGAGAGTTGAGCTGTCAAACTAACGGTCAAAGCACGAATAATTACCGTACGTTATTGAGGGATTTCATGCGTACCGACTTGTTTCACTGAAATGAGTGCGCAACAGGGAAACGGTTTCTACGAAATCCGCCTGGAAAAACCAACTATAAGTCTTTACTTACATCCAATGTAGTCGATCACTGAGAATTGGTCCTTCATCGATTTTAGGTAAAAGCGAAGAGAAAACAAACATTATTGAAGTTTGAGACACTTCCTTTTTATAGTTTATCAGGGCAAAATATGCAGGACTATTTTTGACGATGCATTACTAAACTGGCTGAAACAATTCAAGCGAAATGCTAAAACAATACCTGTAAGTCCTCTACATCAACGTATCGCTCTTGAGAACGAGAAAAAAAAATTTTTTTTACATGAATCGGTGAATTAGTAGTCCGCCATTCGACTACATCACTTTAAATTCATGACGACTGGGGAGCTGCGGAACTCGAAAATTAGTCCTGTATTCTAAATGTTAGATAAAAAGGAGCCTTTTTATCAGTTGTCTGTATGCAAAGACTTCCTGGATCTTAAAGAAGTGTGACTTGGTTCTGTAGACTCTGCAATTGGTTCAGCGAAAGTTTTAGCGGTTTCTGCCAGACATTCTTCTGGCAGTCGGTTGGTCATCAGCATGGCGGTGCCTGTGAAGCGACGTACACTATGGCCAGTTGAACGACGATGAGTCACCCCAGCACCATCTTCTTGCTGGAAAGTGGTAAAAAGACTCCTGCAAGAAATCAAAAATACAAACAAACATTTGAAGAAAAACGTTGACGTGTTGCGAAGTTTTGGAAGGACTTTCTCTACGTTTCTCGTTTATTCCTTGCTTTTCCTGGTTTCACCGCTTTTTCCTCGGAATCTTGAGCTTCCCGACCTATCCTTCAGTTTTCCAAGTCATGGTTGGATTCCCCTGTTTATCCTTAGTTTTAATCTTGGATTTCCTGAATTGTCACCGAGATTTTCAATTTTCATGGCATGAAATATCAAATATTTTTGCCACCACCCAAAAAGGGTATGGCGGTTCATCAAACCGGAGGGGGGAGGGGGGAGGAGGGTAAACAAAGTGAGAGCTCGAGGTCATCACCAGTGCTATGGCTAATGCTTCTCCGAAATCCAAAACTACCGTTGTACTCGGTATTTGCAACGGATAAAGCTTTCCTGGATAACTTTGAGATGTCCTAAGGGCTAGGATTAATTATTCAAAAATGCAGAACTGAAAACAAAAAACAAAGAGTTAACACAACAAATTGTTCTGTTACTTGAGTTCCTGTAGTCTTTGCTGTTCCTGTTCATCTTCCTGATGTATGTTCAGTGTCCGTTTAGTATACTTTGCGAAGTTTAGGTAAAGAAGCACTGTGCTAATGAGGGTCACCACAGCAACAGACGCAATTTGTGACAAGAAATTTTTCCCTTCCCTGTCTGTTACCTGTACCGAGAACTGTGAGGTCAGCTCACAGAAACTGTTGGAAAGCAAAAGACAAAAGTGAACTTTCGATAGAAAAACATCAATGCGTTGATCAAATGACACGAGTAGAGACTGACATTATCAGCTTCATAATGTGTTGCACCGGTTTTGTAGTAAAATCGAGTGACATTTCTGACCCGCACTCAAACTTGTTTCCAATTTGGGGAAAAGGGAATAATACTTATACTTAAAATACAATTCTGTTAAATATACATATAATTGATCATGAAGAGCTCTCGTCTGTATTCTTCCCCAACATTCTTTGTGGTCGTTTTCGTTATTTGCTCACACTTTAGAGATAAAAAAATTCTGAATCGTCTAAAAAACTGCAAAGTCATCATTACCTTCCAACAGATAATTGTCTTCAGAATCCATGTTAAACCTTACACTGTTATTTACCTCAAGTGGTTTCCAACAACTCTGAGTTGGAAGTGAAAGCTTCCTGAACCTTGAAACACCAGCTGAGAGACTCCTGAAGAGTTAAGAATCTCATACGGTTGACTTCCATCAAATGTCTTGCCATCGTTACTGGCCTCAAAACAACTTTGATATTTCTGGAACACAAAGACTGACACTCATCAACCCTCTTTGATGACAAGGACAGTACAAGATCCTTTTTTTTTTTATCCCACACTTGTAAAAAACAAAAGCAAAAGTAAAAACAAAAAACGAAAGGAACATCTGTAACAAGATAACCTTCTCATCTGATGTTTACGCTTTTAAAATAGAGATTGTACTTTTCACGAGCCAAATTATGAGAAATCAAAGACAATTTTCTACCCATTCATTTTATTTTCTTTGCTTTAGCATTAGTATTGTTGTAAGCAATTGTTCACCAACAAAGTTGCATAACACATAGCACCTTTTATAATCTTACATTTTGTGTCCAGATTCTGTTTAAATCCTCGGAGGTATTTTCCGAAAGTTTTCTCAACGTTTGGGCTTCAGATAAACACCTGACCTGTCACAACAAAAAATTTCAGCCTTAGTTAAATTCAGCCAAAGAAACTGACTTGTTCTAATTTACTCCGCTTAGGCTCAGACTATGAACTTAGTGATTGAGTTAGGTCTGGCCTGATGGGAAAATATTTGGCTTGAGGTCATAACATGCAGACCGTGTGTCATGAACGAGAATTTGCGAGAGTTTGAGAGTTTGAACTACAGTTTGCTAATTAGCCCTTGTGTTCGCTGCAACAGTTGTTACGTTGGTACATGATGTGTACCTCACTCATGGTTGCAGTGTATCCATAGTCTGTTCTGCCTGTTTCTTCCCAGACTACATAATCAGTGCGCACCTCTTCCACGAACTTGTCACCTTCGTATCTATCGCAGAAAAATAGACAAAGGTAAGAACATTTTACGTTCCATTTCAGAATCAGTGAGTCCCATTCAGTACACGTTCTTCAAAACCTTTCCACGATAAAGCTATGCAAAGACGTCGAGCCTTTTTCATGAATCCTTGGTTACAATTTTTGTACAATAACGATGCATTACCATGCAGATGACAAAGTAGAATTTGAAAATTGTCAAGTTAACAATTGGTGATTGGTTACAGAGAAAAGAACGAAATTTTACCTTCGATTTGACTTATTTCTATGGACCCACTGGCTCCATTAAGCAGGCATTTAAATACGTGAAATTGAAGTCAAAAGATATAAACTTACAGATCTACCACTAGCTTGATATTTTCATAAATGGCAGCATTCAAACGGCAGGGATTTTGGCCATAATCCTTAAATATTGAAGTATCTTCTGTCAGTATAACTTGTAGCCAACAAGCATCCCCGTTAGGGAAACCTGTCAAAATGCTTGCTGCTTACTGGGTTAAAATAGCATACTGTTAAAAGGCAAACAAGGGAAGCCACGGAAAAGAAGCAATTCTCCTCATCATGGGCAGCTCTTACACATCCGTTTAGTCATCTTTCATGTTAACTAACCACATCGTTAAATGATGCATAGCTCATGGAAATTCCTGAACAGAGGGATCTGCCTAGAGATTTTTCTCAGTTTTTGCCCACTTGTTTATCTTCTGTCTTAAAGGAACTTAAAGTTTGAAATAAAAATATAAGACCCAATGCTCATTTAGGTGCAGCACCTTGTAGTAACATCAAAATTAAATCTATAAACGAGTATTTGCTAAATTCACATTTCCAATACTATTTCGTAATCTGCTCTGATAATTTTTCTCTGTTAAATCCTACCAGGAAATGAACGCTATTTCTAAACTCTAAACAAGAGGAAAAAAAACAATATATCGCCTAAGTCGTTTAGGAAAAATGATTTTCAAAGGCACATCCCTGATGAGCTCCAGCTTTGAAACCAGAGCCACCATTTTTTTGGTGTGCACTTGCCGATTTCCATGAATTAATGGAAGAAAAGGATGCACAGTTCAATACTTGGAAAAAAAAGGGGAATGAAATTTATCCTCTCTTGTAAGAAACGACTTAAACATAAATTGTTTACCATACCGTGGATAAGATTGGTGCAGACTCCACACCAGTTGATGAAGTACAGTTCCTTATCACAATGCTCTTGAGTGGCGGACACCCAACATGAATATGTAGCACCTGTGCTTAACAGCAGGTTAGAGCCAATGCTTCTTACAATACTATTACAAACTTATGTTGCCAAACGCTTCAGGAAATATTCTCTTGCTTCAGGGTTACCTTTTGGAGTGACCGTCAGGGTTAGAAAGAAAATGTCTGCTGTGTTGTCAATGATTATGACTAACGTTTAAAAATGTATGCAGAAGTCATCATGACCTGAGTCAAATAATGAAAAGTGATGACTCGGTGTAGAGGAAAGTGACTTGTCAGTTCAACCATGATTTTATGACACTCACTGTAGTGCTTGTCAGATTTGATTGATCGGTTTGAATGCGTCATTAAGGTGAAGTGATTCCCTCTCGACCACGGCTTGTTTTAATGTAATACGTGCTTTGTAAGGCACCAATAGCTGTTGACATGGAATGGTGGAGGCTGGATTTTCTCTTTTTTTCAGAACAACCCTTCCTCGTTTTAGACTCTGAGGTCATTTTCTTTAATTTTTCAATTATTTTCTTCAGGTCCCAGGACATATCAGTTATTTAGAACCAAAATGAATCAATGCCCAACAATTACTGTCCACCTTAAAACCACCAGAAGCCATTTTTAAACCAGCTTAGACACCTTTAAATACACAAAGATATGGAATTAATTGCACAACTCATTTTAAAAAGAAGCTTTGGAACATGTGGCAATACCTGGAGACTATTTTCACAGGACAATTCTCCAACCTTTGGCAAAAGCTGGACAGCAACTGCAGTTGATTTGTAGGAGCTAGGATCAGTGAAAAGAAAAAACATTGAGAAATCAAATAATATATAGATTTAGCCAAGTCTAAAAGCAGAGCTAGCACTTTTTTTTTTCGCACGTCTCAAGGGCACAACGCCTTGCCCCGGCCAGGACTAGACCCCGGGTTGTCCGACTCGGAGCTCAGTGCACTGACCACTGGACTACTGGACAAAGCCATGGTGTTGGCGTGCCCGCAGTACAGTTGACCATGCATGTTAAAAGTAGCACCTTGTATGGTTGTACATCCAAATTTTTTCGGCTTGCTGGGTTACTACTATTTTGTATAATTATGGGGCTACACTCTGCGAGCTCTGCTATAAATCTAAAAAAATTTAATCAATTAAAATTACAAATACTAAAAGGGAAAAGGTTAAATCAACCCTAATTGACATTAACAAAAAGTAAGAGAAAAATCAAAATAACATATAACTGCAAAAGTAGAAAGCTGATAAAAACTGAAACCAACCACATACTTTTTTTGCAATGAAGTTCCATTTCTAAAGTTGTATCTGAATGTAAAAGTCTACCATAGAGAAAAAAAAAGTAAAAGAGACTTGACAATGTTACAGTAATTTTTTTGATGAGATCTTTTCATAATTAACTAAATGTTAACTAAATGAATCATTTGAAGATCTTGTTCAGGTGACAATTGAAATATCAAAAGTAAATAGCATATTATGAAGTGGCAAATAAAGGGTGAACATTGTTGTGCATAAAGGGCTTCTGTTGTCACCTTATTCAGTGTCACAAGTCCCTTATAGTGTTGCACATGATCTTCACTGGTGATTTGGAGAACATCAACACTGGAGATTTCCAGCTATATTGAATTTGTAAATATTAAACAGATCAGTGGGTGCAAAAGAGGGGAAAGGACACTAAAACACATAAAAGTTCCCTAATGGACTCCTCTACAAGTCCTATTTAGTTGAATACAACAGTTACTGGAGATGATTCAGAGTGAAAATTACTGAAAAGTTTATGCTTAAAAGTAGACATGGCCAAAGATAGACATTTGTGACTCCACTGTCGTCAATTTTTTTTTCTTAAAGGGTCAATTGATACTCATCTTAAGTCACCAATTTTTCTCAATCAATTATTGTAAACTTTTTTGAGTAAGCCCAAGTCATCTGCCTCAAGGTGAGTCCTTACATGTAGGTTCCCTTAGCAATTTCTGCTTTAACATTTCTTCCCCCAAAGATCAGTACTTATTAACTGAGCAAATCATACCCTGACGTCATTAGGTTCTGTCCTGGGATAAATAAGAACTGCCCAGACCTGAATGAAAACAACATGGAGTCATTGATCAGTTGGTAAAATTGTCCATTTACTTGTGGTAAGTGAGACTGAAAAATATGATTTAAATAAGTCACCAACCTTTGTTTCATCTCCCTTGTCCATGAAATACAACTCTGGACTGACACTAGTAGTGAATTTTAAATACTGTAATAAAAACATAGTCAATAACAGTTATGGTAGTTATACAGTATTATGGATTTAGGCCAAATCTTTAGCTTTAAGCCCATACTTTATTCCAACTTTCATAACTATCTGCTATTGCTGTTTACTTTTAGGGTTCGTCTTGTTTCTTATTATCCACACGTCAAAAATGATGTGTTATATTAGGTGATCAAAACAATAATTTTTACACATAATTGCTTGTAAATCTGCATCCTTACAGGACATGATTTTTGTGGGAATACTGCATTCAATACTTCATTTGCCAGAGGCAGCTTTCTTGTTTTAACTATGCCCCTGAAAAGGATAGGAAGCATGGTTTAATTTAATTTATTTACTAACAATAAAAGAATTATTAATTACAATCTAATGAATAGTCTGGATGGAAATGAAATGAAAATAATAAAGGCCTAAGAATAATACATTAGAGACAACAACCAATGAAAAATGACATCACTAGTAAATAAGTTCTGGTAATCATTCAACTTCATCACCTGACATAGACAACAGGAACAAGTAATAATGGATACACTACACTCTGTCAACAACAACTTAAATAAAAGTGATATTATTGATGACTGTTAATGTCAGGTTTCCTGTGCACTTGGACCAGTCTCTGCCAAGGTTTTGTCATTTGACACTAGGCCAAACCTCGGCGCACATGTGTTTTAATCACTTGTTACTTCCGCCTTTATTTTTTGTATGAGGATCTGTTTAACTTAAGAATCACATCATAGAAATAGAACATTACAGAACCATAACAGATATTGTAGCAATTTTCAAGGTTATGGAGAAGGACACTTGCTTATTTGTATGGATTTCTCATACGTTATTTTATTTGAACAGTATGCTTGGCGTGGTTAATCAGATTGAATAATATGTGGAATTGACATTGAATTGCCATGGCAACTACACCAATCCAACATCAGAGTATGATTATACTTAACAACACAAACTGCCAAAAGTGTTTGTTCAAAGACATACCCATTGCTTGTAATCAGCAGCAAAGAACTAAATATATCAAACATCACTGTAAAATTTGAAGATGTGTCTTCTCCTGGAAAAATCTGGTAAAAAATAAATTGATACTGGATAAGAAAGTTGCACAAAGGCAGTAAAATATCAAAACAGAAATAGTTAACACTTACCTCAACCACATGTTCAACAAATGCTCTTCCATAAAATAACCTTTTGTTTGACAACTGCACAGCAAAATCTCCATTTCCACCTGAAAATCATTTGAATTTAATAAGTATTGATTGCTGTTTCACTTAAAACCCCATTGATATTAGTTGTAAACATGTTAACAGTAAATGAGAACACAATTGGCCTAACCAACAGTGTTCTTCTTCTATAACTGTTATGCATGACAGTTAATGTAACAGTATGAAACATACTGCCTCAAAAAAAAAGAAAAGAAAAAAAAACACCCAAGAGTTCATACCTGTTATCAAAGACACTATAGTTTCATTGACATTAAGAACAAAGTCAGAGAGATGTCCTTGTCTCTTCACCTTAAAAACACTCCCTGGAATCGGTTGAAATAAGGATGGCAAAAAAGTTTTCAGTAATAATAATAGTAGCATCTGCCTGACCTAAAAGTTTTAGAAGTTGATGTGCTGATGATGCAAAATAATTGTTATATTTGCCAATGTTATTTTTGTCAATGACTTCTAGTTAATGATATCAATTATCTAGTAAATAACCTGTTCCATTAAGTCTTCCAAAAGCAAACAATTTCTGACCCCAAGCAATCAAATACTGTGTACTTGGAGGAATAAATGAGAAATGGCTTGGGGGATCTGTTGAAGGAATAATAAAAGAATGATTAATTGAACAAGATTGTCTTAAAATACTCTGAATTGAAGGCAGGTAGATGGAAACATGTTCGTTACTGCAACAGTTACTTTTCATTTGTCATGGAATTAAGCAGGCTCCTTTTAGATATTAGGTGGTAGTTTTTAATAGAATTAGTTTTAATCGGTGTATCCTGTAAGCATACTAAAAGCTTCTTAAATTGATCAAAATTAAAGGAAGAAATTCAAAGTGAGAATTACATTTTTCCGGACAACTGTACCTTGGCTAAAACCAGAAAGTGTAAGTAACTCTTGTATCCAGGTATCCTCCATAAAGTCATACTGCATGAACACTGTCTGAAACATGCAAAGAAAACTCTGCTGTCTCTTTTGCTTAAAACACTAAAGTACGCAAATCAAGGGTAATCCAAGCTGGTCAAGAGTAAGTATTAATTAAACAAGCACAGGTTGAAGAGAATGAGGTAAAATGACAGAAAACAATATTTTAAATGTACTCACAATCAAAAATATTGTTAGGACAGTAATATTACCTTTCCCAGGTTTTGATAACTTGTGGTATTTACCAGGAAAGTTGCAATAGGGAAAAAACAATGTAGTTCAACATGCAGCACCTGAAAAACAGAAAGTCAGTCATGAACACATTCAAAGCAACACTTTTTTAACCAACTCAAAGGCAGTTTGGGTCAGGTTTAGTAAATTTTCAGACCAGAGCGTTTAAAGAGCATCACACTAAATTGGAATTATATTGGACTTTGAATGAGAAACTACACAAATCAAGAAATTGTTTTGATATGCTGAGGCTAAAAAAAGTTCTTAACGTAATGAAAGGAGAACATTTCAGGCCACACCTTCAACATTCTTACAAGTTAAACTTAAAATATTTAATTTTCATATGTTGTTAACATATAGTGATCTCGTTAAAAGCAATCAAGACACAGACAAAGAGTGCTAGAATGAAATTTACATACAGATATAACAGAGAAACTCTGTGTAGGAAACAGAAGTTGCTGAAAGGAAACCCCACTGTTTTTTGAAAGGTAAATCCTATTGCCACTACTCTGCAAAAGTTACAACAATTACAAGTTAAAAGGATTATTCAGAAGCCAAAATGACTGCATTAAATATGTTCTAAAATTTTTACATAAACAGTATAATCGTGAGACACAAGTAAAAGTGCATTTAGGAGACCAACCTCATTTGACCATCCCAAAACCAAATTCTTCATGATCTAAAAAAAGGAAGTAAAGGAAATCAAGTAGATAAAATAATTGTAAAGGGAGGTAAGGGAAAAGATAATGTTGCTGCTGAAATTTGTGCTGATTAAATACAGTTCATATGTGTACAAAGGAAAATTTAGACTGCACTCAGTAATGATGATACCAGATTAATGAAACAATTCTATATAAGAGTACAGAGAAGAAAACGATTTAACTTGTTAACTTGTGATATCTCTTTATCACTTATTTAATAAATGCATACTTAGCCTCATAGTTTTTGGACAGCCCTGATATAAAAACCTTGTAATCCAGTGTTTCCATACCTCACTGTTTGCACCTTCAAAACATATCTTGTGTGATGCCAGACCAGTCAACCCAAAGTTTGGTAATCCTGTGGTTTGAACAAAGGAAAAAAGTCAGATGACATAGCATTCTACTGAATACCTAGCCTAACGTATGTCTAGTATTGAGGAAAAAAACTTGCCATACAGTTCTCATTTCCAGGCACTGACATATGACACAATTTGGGCAGGAAGTGTGTCAAGAATCTTGAGACAGTTAAAGACATAAAACAAATAATTTCTAGATACACTGTTTATAGCAAATTGTTGACATTTATTTCTCAAGGGACTTATGAAAGAGTTGAATTGATGTTAAGTTAACCTACCCAATGGATTGCCCCAAGTTTGTCCTGTTCCATTAAATATGAGAAGTTGTCCTGACTCTAAGAGTACCAAAAGGTTTTCTGCCGAAAACAGAGCCAGCTTGACAATTGCTTCAGACTGCTAAACACGAGTAAAGTACAAAGACAATCACACCATAAATATATCAAAAATTTAAAATCAATTCATGAAATATATAGCTATATAGGGGGTTCACGTAGACTTTTTGTTGTGTCTTGAAATATAGCCACCTACAAATAGTCTGCTAATTGAGGACATTCAAATAAACATGAAGTCAAAAACAGATTTAAGGTATAGAGATAATATCTGGAATAATAATGGAAGAATACATGATCATGATTAACAACTAAGAAAAAGCATACCATTAGTGCAGTGGATGGCACCTTCAGTTTGATAGCAGTAGCAAAATTGTCTTGAGTGCGAAGAAATTCTGAGCTGAAATCAGGAAACAATTGAAAAAAAAATTAGATTCAAACTGCCAAGTTATCTAATCACATAACTTAAAAATATAAACTTGTGCAATAATCCTGACTCTTAATTTCAAATTAAATTGGTGGTTGTGACACGAGTGTCAAAATAAACTTGGGTAGAACTTAAACAGAACAAATTTTCTCCAGTTCCATGCCAGAATAGGAAGCACGACAGCAGTCATTGGAATACCTGATGCACATGACATTTTTAGATGGCAAGATCAAATTTATCCATTCAATAGCAGTATCCCTGACTGCACCTGTTTTATTTTTTTCTCAAGCTACTTTCCTTTTTTCATTTCACATGCACTAGTTAAACAAAGCCATTCACCTTATTAGGACGGCAACATGAGGAGCACATGGATCCTACAATAAAGATAAATCTTACCATTAAATGAGAGTAGCATGAAATTTACCTTCAGAAAAATAAACACACAACTTTAGGCAAAACAAAAGTAAAATAAAAGACAAAAGAGAGGATACATGTATTAACACAGTAGACTAAAAATCACCAAAAAATGCAATGTAAGGGTTTTAGTTATAATAAACTGTAATATTTTGAAAATTGCAAGTTATAATCAGTCACAACTATTCATTCAAGATTTTTTAATATAAAAGACAGAGAGTAGCATATTGACAAGCATATCCAAAGTTTTCACCTTCTCAAAACAATTCAGTCAGAGCTAATTTATATAAAATCATATTCAACAAATAATGAAAACTAATTTTCTTGCCTGAACAATGGAAGGCTGTTCAGAACCTTTTCCTCCTTTCAAGACCTCCTGTGAATGAACCATAGTGATGAAGAAATGTCTACAAGAAGTAATCTTTAAGAAAAGTCTCATTTCCTAATTTTTTTACCTCTGCTTGGTTTGGAATGCTACCAGCAGGAAAGTCAAACTTGGTTATCAGCAATTGTACAAAGCTTTTCCTGCAGAGATTTATTAAACGTGTGAAATTAAGTCTTGTTATTAAGTATAAAAATCTATTGAACAAACTGTACTGAGCTCCAGTAATAAAAACTATAAAATTGATAAAATCTCAAAATTGGAAAAGTATAGAAAAAATGTCATCACATGTTACAATAATTACCATCATAATAATTGTGTGTTGCTAAGATTAATTAAATGTTTAAGACTCGAGGCGGTTTTGAATGTGATTTTCAAGTTGGATTTTGACTTTGAATGCAAAGTGCCTGATCTGCTTGTGTCTTACCAGTAGTTGTAAAGTCATTACGGAATGAATATTATTTACCCTTTTACTCCCTTTGACTTAAAGATATATCATCCTACAAATAAGTGATGAAAATTAAGGGAAAATAAAGAAGAATAATGAATAGAGAAGTATAAAGTTAAACATGATTGTGAGATGAATAACAAGATCATGATCTTGAAGGAAAACATGCAACGATTACATGATCTTAAGAGGTTAGCAGTTAAAAGCCAACCTGATAAAGCGATCATGAAGAGCAACTGACTGTCCATCTATCTCGAAACTCATCTGATGATTAGTTGCACTGCTTACAGAGAACTTCCAGTAGCTACAACAAATGTAATAAAAAACAGATTTTAAATATTTTTATATGCAGACAAAGGTATGACCTAATTCCCTAGTGGTGATTTGAAAAAAACTATTCTTACTAATAAGAACAATATAATATACACAATTTCTCTCATGCCTGTGAGCTGATTTATAAAATATTACAGCGGCACCACCTTCAAGCAATCAACCTTTGCCTCATAATGAACCATTCAGCATAAATATTACAGTTTAAAGCTGAAGAACAAATTTATAATTCTAATGAGACCTTTTTTCCCAAAAATTCCAGTGAGATAACTGGTTACCTGTTTAACTAACAAGGAATTAAAAAACAAAATAAGTTACTTCAATAGTTTGTATGATAGCATAGCAGTTGTCTTATGGCGATGTTAAGTCAGTGCATGTATAAGGTATTGTGCTGAAAATGATTTACACATGTCTTTAGTGCTGTTGATGCTTTACCCATGTGTTGTATTAAATGACTGACGGTCAATCTGTAACTCATCCCAGTCAATAAACCTGTGACCCATTTTCAGTTTCACAGATGGCCTTTGCCCGAGTTGGAAAAAAACTCTCGTAAGCTCCTTTGAATACTGGAAAAAAGAAATAAAACAAATCTAGTTTCAATGACTGTGAAAGTTCCTAAATGCAAATTGGAACACTATTAAGAGTCAGACTAACTTGAGAAGGAAACAAAACTGTTCTGTTCCTCTCATACTCGGAGATATGCTTTGGGTCAATAATCCATAGCTTGAACTCTTCTTGACTTCCACTGTTAAGAAAAAAATCAGCCAGCATTTTCAGTTTTTTTCTTGCCCCTGGAAGTGTTTAATTAAGTACAAGAAGTTATCTGGAAATTAATCATTTAGTTCCATTTGGTTTAGTTACAATTTTCTCTATAAATGGTCTAGAATTGAAAACCTGCTCTACCTTGACAATGAGATATACCACAAAACTAACTGAAGTTTAATTGTTCTACTTTTCCCTTGCTTTCATCTATTTCTATTTATTTACTTTGAGTTCTCATTTTTTCCTTGTGATGTAGTGGCTGTTTTGATAACTTTTGCTTTGGTCTTGTATCAATCTCTCAATTCAAAAATATGTTAATGACCACTAAATCTGATTTTTTTTGTCCATTGTACTGTTATAAGTCACACGTTCTGTTTGAAAACCACACTCACTTTTGCTGTTGTCTGTTGTAACCAAGGAACCACTCATAGTAAAATGGACTGAGTACCACATTGATGTGCCTCACACTCTACACAAACAAACAAACAAACAAAACATCACTTAACACAAAAAAATGTTACAGTCATTTGGAATCAACTTTGCCTAAGTTGTATCTTTTCATTTTTAAATATTACCTCATTGGTAAGTTTGTCTAATGACGGATCTAGAAGCTTTAATTTGGGCTCATCAGCAATATTTTTGTTTTTTTTCTTGGGCCTCGAAACAAATTGCCTTCCTGTCTTTAGGGCTCAGGGCTTGGTTGTTTGAAGTCTGATTAGCACTAACCCAGGGTTAAAATTTAATCCAGGTTTCTTCATTTCTATGTTTAAAAGCCTTTTTATGTTAGCAAGGTGGTGAAATACAGTGGAATAGCAACACTCCTGGCTGCCTAAACAAGCTATCTAAACCAGGATCAGCTCTGATTGTAAGGAGCCTGTAGGCTTGGAGGAAACAGCTTCAGTGAATAACATCAATTTACTCTCTATACTTTTGTGTGACATATGAGAAGACTAGGTCTCTCTAACCCAAAAAATCAAAAGACAAACAAACAAGCTATCAAAGCCATCTACAATAACTAACCTGGTTATCAGAGTTTCTTGTGATAGGACCAATAGGATGAAATCCTGGCTTTGGACAATGCAGAATAGCACTGATAAAACTAAAAATACAGAGTCTTTTGTTTTCAGATAAGATTACCATGAAACCTGAATTAAACAGTCCAGACCTACACATCAACCCTTCCAGATTTCCATGTATGTCTAATACAAGCTGTATTGGACTGCATCAAGACAAAAAGCTCATCTTTAAGCCCATCACAGCATCAGCCATACAACTGATTGGCTACTTTGTTGAATCAAATATTTCAAGACTTCTTCTTATTATGTATGAGCACTGATCACTATAAAAAAGACTTGTCTGCAAGTAAGATTGTGACAAAGTTTTCATCATTAAATTTGTGGACCAACCTGCCTTATCAATATATCTGCCTCTTACAACCTAAAACATTTAGAGTAGGACTGCAATTTTGAAACCGTACCATTTTCCATTATTAATATAAAAAATAGAAGCTTTGAAGGGCTCAATTTAAGTGAGGACTAATGTAAGTGACTGTTTACTAGGAGGTCTGATAAGTTCAGGATTTATTTCGTAAGATGCAAAATCTATAAATTCTTTAGGCTTACCTCTTGTTCTTGAGAGAACACTCCATAGGGTAACACCATTCAACCTCTTCATCGGCTTCTAAATGTTCCACAAAAATCTAACGCAAAAAAGGAAAGACTATTTGCTTGACCAATTGGCAATAACAAATCAACCACAAACAAATGCTGGTGGAAGTTCATAGATAACTGTTTGATAAAAAAGGTCATGATCACTTTGGACGCAAAGAAACCAACATGTACACATGAGATTCTTACAGTAAAACAAATCTAGCAGAACTGTAAGGCTCTAAGCTTTTGGTTTTCACAAAAAAAAGGTTTATTCACAGAGCTACCTGACCTTACTTACCGTATGACGTGTAGTAAACAAAGTCCCATCACCTTCTCTGGTTGAGTATCTTTTTCGATTTTGAAACGAGAAGATGAAAACTACATAAGCTAAATTTGTAATGACTATTCCCTTGTTGAAATCTCTAAACGGCAACTCACCGCCATATCTCCTCGCTAGAAATATTGAGCGGCCAGAAAAAGATGATGATCTGAACAATGTTGAGCACAAACGTAGCAAAAACGATCATTTTTCAGGGAATTGGATCAGAAAAGAAGAAAGACGAAGTTACACAATTCTTGCGCCTTCATCACTTCGCACCATTTAGAAATAATAATTCGTTCCCAGACCGTCCTCGAGTATAGAGAAACAGAAGTCTCTAAGTAAGTAGAGCGTAAGGTGAGGAGAAATGGAGCGACCATCATTGAGGAGATTTAGACAGGGAAGCCAGATCCTATCACGTGAGCGGGATGGGCATGAAAACAGCATGGCACACAAAACAGACTAAGTCTGAAACATTTTACATCTTTTTATTTTAAATAATTTCCATTTTCATTTCATTAAATTAATTGTTCTGTTTGATATATTTGTTTCTCAAACGTTCTTCAATTCAGAACGAAAGAGGTGCCGTGCTACCTAAACGCGCTAATTTTTTATTGCACAATTGTGGAAAGAACCTAAAATATTCATTTCTTGACAGAAATCATGTTGGAGTTAAACTTGTGTCGAAGATATTTGTGGATCTCGGCAGCACGAGGACTTGACAAGCCAGGAGTTCTTTTTTCCAGCTCTGCTGGTGTGCTGTGAAGTAAAAATCAGGAATGAACGAATAAAGGAAAAAGGACGGAAGCGCTGAAAATCGGATGATAGCGTCCGCATCGTGGAATGCTATCGTCTCAAAACGTGCGAAAACGTTGAAATCGGACGTTTAGAATCTTCGGCATTAAGCATACGTTATACCGCTTCCAGATTTCGTTCGGATACTACCCTTAATTATTGCAGTCTCGAGCACGATTTGTCATCAGGGCTCATTGTTTAAGTTTCTTCACACTAATAGGGAAGATTACTGTTTCACATTGTTTCCATTACACAATCATTACAGTTGGAACAGTTTTCATTTCATAAACACAAAGCCAGGGCTTATATAACATTAAAAAAATTTCATCAATATTCAAAATGGGGAAGACTTGATATTCTAACGTAGAGTATGTCTTGCTCTTTGATTCTTTTCTTACAAAGAATCAAAGTTTTGCATGATAGCTGAAGTCGACTAAAATCCTCAAATTAGCAAATCTCGTTGCGAATCAAGTTGCCAAATTTTTTCCATCTCGTCATAGGGATCAGATCAGTAACAACTTGTAGCAACTCCAGACTTAAAATTTCTCCAAGAACGGGAGTAATCAGTGCACTCCTGTTTTAAAACCCATGAAGGTCCCATACTGAACACCTTTGGCTACGAATTGTCTCTCTTGATAGACAAGTTGCCGATGCGAAACGATGGGACATGTCAGTTTGGTAAAACCGACCAGATAAGCCTTACCTGTTCACGATTTCGCCAAGTGTTCTGTACGACGAGCACAGATTAAGGGCTGTAACGTAGCTGACACGTGGAATACTTGCCACAACACGGAAAAACTGAAAAATTAGAAGAAAACACGAAAAACTGCATATTAAGTTTAATGTACCTTAGGTAATCTAAGAGAATTTTGCCGCTTTATATTTCACCTGTTCGTGTTCCTTGTTCAGAGCAGTTGACGCTGTAATCGCCATTCCCTTCATAGTTTCAACGGTGGCAAGATCCGTTAAAAGGCGAGCAGTTTCCTCTAAGATAACAAAACAGAAAAAAAACAATTCAACACTAAAGCTTGCTTTTCCAATTAATTTCTTAACTGGAACATCCTATTTCTCGTCAGAAAATCAGAGTACCAGGCCATATGTAAACTCATTAGGCCGACGTTTACTGAAATAATCACATCATATGACAAACCTTGTGAGTCGCTGAACACCATCTTGACGTGAGTCTGCGCAATGCTAGCCAGGGTGAAAATGTATGCTTTGGTTTTAATACTGCAATACGAAAACAAGTAAGTTATAAATTTATGGGTAGATTATTTAGAGATAGAGACATTTTATGGTATATTATATCCATAAAGTACTAAGCTAAGAGATTTTCTATGTTACAAATGCCTTAAGTTCAGTTGTTTTGAAAATACTGAAAGTTTGCTTGAGGGTGGGTTAAAAGATGGCTATACTCACAAGTTTTTCTCTGTTTCTCCAGGTTTAACGCGGTCTTTTTCAATAATCAAGCAAGGCCTGTCATACAGATCACACATTCTGCGTATGCACTCCACAAGCTTGTGACTGTTTGCTCCATGAGCAACATCTGAACAGAAAAGTTCGAAGTGTAAACAACGACAGTTAATCAGTATTTTGTCAATCAATTACAATTTCGCTAAAACCAATCGCTATAACCAATCTCTGTAACCCGCGTCTTCCAGCGCCAAAGGCGGCTTCTTGTGTGTGTTTTCCTGTGACATTTGCCTTCGATCTGATCGGGTGATGTGACTACTCTGGGGGTTTTACACAGCAATCAGTCAAAAACTCAGTCAATGAGAAGTTGCTCGGCTTATTTTGGGCGGCGAAAGAGCGCTTGCGTGCTGCTGAATTTCACCGTGCGGTTATCAGACCTGTGATTGGTTTAGGTGATTTAAAAACTCCAAAAATCGAAAGACGCTTCAGAAGTCAACGCCTTTTGTTGACAGATACAACGTTTCAATCTAAGAAGGTATCCCCTAGAAGCTGATGTTCTTGATCTCTCTTAAGGTTTGTGTGTTAATCAAAGATAAATTGGGGATATGTTGTGTGATTTCTCAACCAGTCACGAAAGATTACTCAAAGGAAATCGGCAAACTGGCGATGTTCAAGTTAGGGGGGTAGTGACTAACATCATAAAACGAGATAAAATAATTCGCATGAGTGCAGGAAGAACTTCTCAAAACCATAACATACCGGAAGCTGTTTTCCTCTTCACAGCCATTCTGTTACTGACAATGTAATCACAGCTGGTCAGCTGACATACTTCCGCCTTGATATTGTGCTTTAGGCGTAAAGTTGACACAACCTGTGGGGGGTGGGGAGGGAAGGAAGACAATGAATAAAATCTGTCTACTGTATAGAGTAACTAGTATCCGAAGTAGTGAAACAAATTCTAATATGTTACGAGAACTGAAAAGACAAAGAAAGGCTCACAGTAGGGCAATCGCGATCCACTGGACAGGAAAGTAAAGATTAAGTGCCACACCAAATGAATTTTCTACGCTGAAACATCCACCATGTTTGCATCTTGATGTCATATCCTTCGCTAAGCCATAATTCCCGAGAAAAATTATCATATGTTAAAACAGTTGAGATGGGACCATCAACAACGTTTTCGTGAGAGATCGTGCTACCTTTTTACCAAGGGAAGAGTAAGAAATAGAAAAATTTTGTTTCAAATAGGACTGCATTTAAGAAACCTTGGCTGGTTTCTCAACACGGAATAAAATTCAGAAGAAGTTACTTACCTGAGAACTGGAGATTTCCCGAGCGTCAACTAGGATAACGGTCTTTCCCTTGTCCTTCTGTGAAGACTAATAATACAATAAAAATTAAAGAGGTCTAAATTTTTACAAAATCTCTTTAAGCCGTTTTCGTGCAAATTCTTATGGCCGTGAACGGTATAAATCGGAAAATCTACGGGTGTTCCGACGGCGATTTAACAAAATCTGACGAAATATCTCTAAATAAAACAATATGGTGAAGTCATATCTTACCGTGAGTAAATGGCTAATCGCTGGTCTGGAACTAAGATTATTAGGTCGACAAGAAGGAGTTACAACTTGCATCTTCGCATGCGTACCGACGGATGGATGCTGACCATCATTATGCAGTGAACTTTTGTTGTGCAGCGTAAGTGGATTTTTCAAAGGGTGTCTTTGACCAGAAATGACTGTCCTGTCCTCACAGATATTCGATTTTGTAACGTTCAATGGTACAACTATTTGTTTTGTAGTGAATGGACGTGGAGCCTTCTCAACAAAACCTTTATTCCTTGCCTGTGGATCAACAGGCAGCTGGTACCATTTTTCTGAGGTCTGGTTCGAGCACTGCCTTATCTTGGTGAAAGTTTCCTTTGAGATTTCATTTCTTTGCTTTAGTATCGCTGACTTGTCTTTTGATGAGTCGTCATTTTCTGTATTTTCACGATTTGCATAAACCACTTCCCATAAAAAGTCAAAACCAAGTGAGAAATTTGGAGACTTCTTAATATCCATGGCAGCATCATTATCTATTATATCCATGGCAACATCAATTTGATCCAAGCCGTCACCCCTCAGTTGGTCACTTGAAGGTTTCCTAAATATGAAACATGATGAATTTGTAAATAGAATAAGAAAGATGGTCAGTTTTAAGCTTGGTAAAGAAACAGTCTTGTCACGAGTGTGGGACAAAGAAAAACCCACCTAAACCTATTTCTTTATCGAGCTAAAAACTTACCATCTTTCTAATCCTATTTACAAAACATGACGCTGTCGACATTGCCGATCCTTGCAGTAAACAGGACGCGTGTCATATATGAACGTCGTAATAGACCTCGCTCACCGTGGAGTCTCTGTGGCTCAGTGGTAGAGCATCGGAGCGTGGAATTCGAAAATCTGAGGTTCGATTCCGCAACATGAATTTGTTTTGAAATAGCAAATGCAGACATATTTATATTTGGAAAGGTAGAGGAATACGCATAAAGGGTCTGGGGGTGTAATTGAAAAACAAAATTCGTCCGGCGTTATACGGCAAGTAAGTAAGCACTTGGATTACAGTTTGGTAAGGAGAGTTGGGGTGGACTTCTAACCGGACGAGAGGAGGGGTTCGAAGTTCACTTACCTTTTGGCCTTTGCGTTCTCCGGAGTCCGCACATCTTTGTCGTCAAGGGCGATCAATAAATCACCGTCACTGACATCGTTGCTCCAGTCGTCCACGAAAGCCCCAGATTTGCGAATACTTCCCTTACCACCCGCTGACCGCCTTAGAGCCGAGTCGCTCCTTTGAAATTCTTTTTTCGCGGCCATAACATCAGATGACTTGACGAAGTCAGTGTGAAGTGTCTTCCTACTACCGTTTCTCTCGATCGAAAAGTTCCCAAATGCACAGCTTCTGTGCTGATTTGTCTTTTTCATTTGTGAGGCATCGGGTTTTGAAGTGTCTTCTGCATTACTTCCTTCCTTGCAATCGATGGCCGACGAATTCACCTTGCTCAGCTTAGGTGAAACTTCTCTGTCAAAACTGTCATCTAAAATTCGCTTTCGCTTCATACGCTTCGCCGGACGGCCGATTTGGCTCCCCTCGAAAGATGCGTCTGCGCATGCCTGACCGTTCCAGTGACCATTCTCAACCTCGGTTTCATGTTGAATTTCTGCCTCACTTTCATTATCCGATTCGACCTCGTTTTCAAGAACGCTCTCTGATTCGTAAGTTTCCTCTGCTTCGGATTGGCTATCATCATCAACATTTCCGCGTTTATAGACCATTTTATACTTATTTCGTTGCTTATGGAACAAAGGCGTTCGAAATTTTAAGGCGCCGCAAAGAGGACTTCGTAAAGATTGTCTGTATACCGCCATCATGTCCACTGGGGAGCTAGCGTGATGCTGTTTCGCCGCCGAAGGAGGTCTTTGAGTCAGTTGAGTAGCATCATCTATGAAGCTGTCCATTTCATCTTCGTCCTCATCACAGTTGTCTGCTTCATCGGACGAGAAGTCGTTGATGTCACTGTCTGACAATTCAGCTTCATCGTCTAGGAAGTGGTTTTTCCGAAATCTGATTTTCTGTTAGGATTACAAGACAAAAATTTTAAAATATTAATGGCGTAGATTTTATTTCAATTGTGTCCAGCCCAACTAATGTCAAACCTGTCCGTTCCCATCCCCCTGGTCCAACTCCCAACCACTACCAGATCACGTAAATGTTCAAAATAATGCTGGTAAAATAGTAAACACTAGATAATAAATAACTATTAAATACAATACCTTAATATTTAAACAAATTCGTACATACATTCTTAAACAAGGAAACAACACTTTAAACTAATGAGTGATTGGCTGGATACATGACACGACTCAAAAAAACCGAAATGTATTTTCTCAAAGTAGACCCACAAATTGTTAGAGAGAATAACTGACCTTTGGGAGAGAAGAAACTGACTTTCGCGAACGTTGCTTCCCACCGATCTCAAAAGAATTTCTCTTGTGAGCCCTGAATGTAGCGGAAGGAGCTCTTCCAACGTCAGATCGGCTTCGAGCTAAGAAAGAAAACAGCCTCATTAAAGCACATAACTTACAAAGATTATCACCCTAAAGTTAGAGAGCATGGCGAATCTTAGGTCTGAGATCCACAGAATGATTGTCTATTAGGACACGAGCGAAAGTACACATCACAAGCAGAAGACACGTAGCCATCCTCAAGTGCGGAAAAACTCAAGTGACCAAGTTGCTATTGCCTATAGTGCTAAGTCAGACTGGTGGAGAAAATGGCACTAGTCTCTCTCAAATGACGCCGAACCGACTGGTCACTTTAAAGTAAAAAATGTTTATTTTAAAACAGCTAATCAGAGACAATACAGGATCTGTAAACAGTAACGTCATCTAGAGAAAAGGGGGGCGAGAGAGGAGGGGGGAAGGGGGAGGAAACTGTAGCGTACAAAGAAGAGCTCTGTTCAACAGTTCTTTACAAGTTTAACAGAAAAAAAACGGTGAAAACTAACCTGGTTTACCGGTTTCAAACTCCTCATCGCTGTTTGATTCTAGCTGTGGATTACATGACGAAAAACCGATGCGCTGATTGGATTTGCTTTTCTCAGGACTGGCCGGTTTTCTAAACTCTTGGGAACAGGGACTCGACAAAACTCTCTTTCTTCGAGAAATCGCCCTTCCCACAGGACGGATGACACTTTCATCTTCATCATCATCATCACTTTCCATTACCGCTACAACATTGCCATTCTCAGTTCGTAAATTTGAAGAATTCGCTAAATGTTCCTCACGGTCGAGAGATGAGCCAGTGAAAGCCATGCTTGTCTTTGAAGACTGTTTCACTGATGTCTCTGGGCTGCTACATTCCATGGGCCTAGCTAACGAATTCACTTCTGGTATCTCTATGTTCACTCCACAGGAATTGTCGTTCACTGATTTATCGCTGAGCGACTTTGAGCGACTCAAGTTCAACGATTTCGTCCCTGGAAAAAGTAAACCATTGTCTTTTGTTTTCATCGGAAGAGATCTCTTGTCTTTTGGCGAGGTGCGTTTCAAGCTAAGCTTTAGTTTCTTGGGTAGCGGTGACCTACAAGGATTGTTAGCAGCATTACTACCAACACTGTCACCAGTATTAATGCCAACATTGCGACCACCGTTATCACCAACATTGTGACCAACCGAGCCGCTCTCATTAATCACAGTTACTTTCTTTCCAAGCGCATTTATGTGCGATTCTTTATTTATTTCCGACGACGGTAACTCGTTCCAAGAATAACCCGGTTGGTGCTTATTTCCCAAATCTAACTTGCCAGTTTGTAAACTCTCTGTTTCTATAAACGGGGTTGCGCCAGAATTCCTTGATTCCTTTTTGTCTGATATAAATATATCATTGTGAGAAGTTGAGCTCGGATGTTCTCCCCTAGTACGTATTTCAAGTGAAGATGAAGCACGCGGTTCAATTCCTTCCTGAAAAATCTTTTCAGTTCCATCATTTCTAGAATTTTGCTCATTTGTTGAAAGGTGTCGTAAGCCGTTGATACCATGAGACTTTGAACTTTTCTGATCCATCTTTACTGAAGACCCTGCCGTACAAAACTGTTCACCAACACGCTCCGAAATCTCCAACCTAGCTTCACACTTCTTAGCCTCATGGTTGTCTTTCTTAATCGATATCTCTCCCACATGTTCACTTCTCGGTGACAAGGTTTCGTCGCCAGGCCTGTTTTTGTCATCCTTGGCGTACTTTTCACCAACATTACCATCTGTAGGTAGCGTTACATCTGTGAGGGCATCATCATCTGCCGCGTCCATAAAAAGATCTTCAGTATACCCTTTCTCCTCTTTGCCAGAATCATTTACTGCCTTTGCTAAGACGTTACTCTCCAATTCTGACAGAAAACTATTCGAGATTCCGCGCACGTTCATCGTGACCTCCTGCGCGTAACTCTTCCTCCTCGCGGCAATCTCGTCTTGCTCTTCAAGCATGTCTACACCATGGCTGGGTTTCGGGTTTCCATATGTCGAATTATGCATTTCTTGATAGATAACCTGGTCCTTGTAAGGTTTATTTTCGTTAGAAAACGAGGAAACAAAATCTTTCTGCTCTTTGCTACTATTTTCTAAATCCTGACTTTCCATAACCTCCGTGTCAAGAAAATCAGCCATAAGAAATGGTTCCTCCTCCAACGAGTCTTTTTCCACACAAACTCGCGGCAAATCAGCTCCTGAATCAAGCGAGTTTACAAAATATTCTCTCTGGATCTCCTCCATGTCTTTGTTAAAGTCATTCAAGTCTGAGCTCTCAGACGACAAACTCATTTTGTCCAAAGCGTCTAAGTTGGGTGGCGATGGCACTGCCCCGACTGTGACTGAAAATCTATTTTTCTGAGGCAAAAAACCTGGCATGGTTCCTTGTGACTGGGTAGTTACACTGGGAAAAAGACTTGTCATTTCGTCAGAGGCTGCATCGGAGAGGTCACTGCCATCACCATCTAGATTTCCTTCCATTTTTTCTGGTTCTTTCTTGTCGCCAAGGCTTGCACACTCACCATCAGCCTCTGTGGGGTTTTTGTCAGGTTCCCAGTGTTCTCCCACATCGGGCAAATCCTCCATCAATGTATCGCCAGGTTGTCCTAGGAGACAATTGCTAACTTCATCGTCTTCGTCTACACCTGAAGCCACGTTCATGCCATCAGTTTGGAAATCTTCGTCTTCTTTATCATCAAGCTGCTTCAGAAACGCTTTCCAACGAGCTTTGTTTTTCGGTGAGCGCTTTTTTAACTTCGTGCCACTTATCTTCGAGTTCTTATCGCTGGTATTACCAACTGAATTCTCTTCTTTACTCGGACACTTTCTGTCAACTTGCAAATCAGGTCCACCTTCCATTTCAAGCTTTTTTCGCGTCTTCTTGCTTTTCTTGGTGACCTTGCGTCGGCCTTCGCTTCCCTCGCAAACAGTACCATCATTTTCAGGCAAAACACTATTATTTTCATCACTTTCCTTTTGCCCCGGCTTTATGATGTCTCCTTCGTTCAAAAATGACATCATTTCCAGGTCATAGCTTTCATCGTCAACTCCTCCGCCACTATGAAGCTCCGTGAACTCCAAAAGTTCAACAAAATGTTCTGTGCGACGGGAATGTGAAACAGCCTTCACAGGTTGTAGTGTAGTCTGCCAGGGGAGCCATTCTGTCAAAGAGGGTTGCACGACAGATTTCCTAGCCCCTGCTGATGAACGCCTCGATTTCTTAGTAATTGCTAATTGTGGTGACAAACCCGCCTCGTGATCGGGAAGTTTAAAATGTTCCTGCCAGTAAACTAATTCCTCGTAGGTCAAGAGACCGTTGTCTTTCTTTGATGTGGTTGTTGCAGTTTTACTTGTGAAATTTTTGATGTCAGCTCCTTCTGAAGGCCTTTTCTTCTTTTTCCCTTTGCTGTTAAGGAAATAAAATGCTGTGTAGAACATTTGGACCTATTTCGGGCACAATATTTTATCCGTAACCCAACCGACTGATCAGATAGATCGACAGACAGACCGACCGACAGACTGGCTGACCAACTGTAACATACTGATTCACTGACGCATTCACTAGCTGCTTGACTGACTGACTGTATGTCTACCTGACTAACTGATCGGCCGTCTAACTGATCGGCTGCCTGACTAACTGACTGCCTGACTAATTGACTACAAGGTGACTGACTCTTTGACTGCCCGATCGATCCCACGTTCAGATGGACCGACCGATCGACTGACTGTCTGACTAAAGGCTATAAAGACGGACTATGCAACTGATCGATAGACATACCCCAGGCCCTGACAAACCGTTCAAGAAAGGTCCATGAGAAAGCGGGAAAAAGAAATTAAAGGTTAATTTAGCGCATAAAAAGAAGTTTCTGCCATACCTCTGACCTATAAACTTCCCAATAGTCATCTCCATTTTCAGCACAGACGGAACAATATGACGAGGAACCATTCGAGGGTTGTCCGAGTAGAGATCAAAAGATTTGGTAGCCTGGGCGACAGCTTTGTGTATCGACTTTTTACTCCTTTGACTTTTCATGTAAACCTGGCCAGGAAGAAAAAAGGTATATCAAAATAACGATAACACTAAGTACGCCCCTGAGTTACTGTAGTGGTATGAAAGGTAAATGAATTGGCCTTTAAGTGAATACTGGAGGTTCAAAAGAAGATCTAAACTCGCAATGACAGCTTATCCACTTCTGTTCTGACAACTGGACAACTTGCACCTCAGGTTCTTACCATCCACACTGACCATTCCATTGGAAAATTGGCTTTAAGGAAAAAGGAGAAGATTCAAACTTCTCTAAATTCAACTGAACATCAGAGAAAATGTGTCATCCTAATCAATGGTCCATTCTTTTAAACACGTTCCAAATAGAATGACGCAAACCGTTTCATTTTAAGTTGGAATTTCGGGGATTTATGAGCATTAGTTTTCAAACGACGTCCACGACTGCAAAACAAACGATCAGAAATCAAAAAAATGAAAAGGATTCAATTGAGGTCTATGTCTGATATCAGGGCCCTTGCGGCTGCAATGGAGTGCTTTCCACACGATCCGCAAATACGATTGCTAACTTTCTTTCTTCATTGAGCACAACAATAGTTGCGATCATAGCAATCATATGGAAACCAAGTATACAGAAACTGTGCCTATTTAGTACCTGTTCCTCTTTGCCTTCAGTCACGAGAACTACTATGCGTCCGTCTCTTTTCCTTCCTGTTCGCCCCATTCTCTGCACAAGGCGTATGGGAGACGCATGCGCATCAAAACACACAATAAGGTCGACTTCGCCTATGTCCAGACCCTCCTCGCCGACGCACGTGGCTACCAATGTATTGTAACCACCTTGACGAAACCGCTGTACAACCTAAGGATGTAATGGAGTTCAGGTGAACTAACCACATTGGACACAAACACAACTCTCAGTTGGTGCCAAAAAGGGGAAAAAAAGAAAGAAAAAAACGAGTAAAAAGTAAACACGCCTGGATTTCCTACAGGACAAGAGCGTTTTCGTTTTTCATTATGAGGCAAAACCTTTCTGTATCGGATTTTTCGGCGACCAAATTGTTCCATCTGGCAATTGAAACAAACTTGTTCAATCAACACTTGGCACCCGCGTGAAAACCCGGCTTAAAGCGCGGGAATACGCGGGTGACCCAATTCTCCGTTGGTCTAAGTTAAGCATCTGATTGGTTATGAGGGCTGAGCGCGTTTTCTACACAATCACTGAGCGAAGCAAAGAAAACCAACGGGAACCCTAGTTAATTCAAAGTACAATATAACCAAGGTAATACCTGCAACTGTTCTTTCTGTGAAAGTCCTCTGACACTCTTTCCAGTTGTCTGCTGTCCAATAAAACTCATTACTCGCACCAGAGGCTTATGACGAGATAACAACGCGGCTATCTCGTTCACACTGTCTCTGTACTGTGAAAATATCATCACACGGGTAGCTACGCCTTTTGAGTCCTCATCACTCTTTCCCTGGAACTTCTCAAAGTGTTCAAGCACAATTTCCTTAAGTTTCAAGAGCTTGGGATGACTCTTGAATGTAGTACTCGGTTTTGGAACATTCATGAGCGCGCGCCTTCTTGGTGAAAATTGCGAAAAGAGAAGGCTTTCGTTCGCACTGTTTTCCACTGGAGGTTCAATTTCCTCTCGCAATTCATCCATCAGCTGTGTAAACTCGTGGTGTTTCATGATTTCGGCCTTGGCGCGCGGCATCCCTCTTGTTCCATCAATGATGGCTTTAATGAAGTTGTAGAATGACAAAATTCCATGCTGGAGTAGGAGCTCATACGCGTGGTACAGGCTGATGCACATAGCAAAGTCCCCTTCAATTTGTCCCAGTCGATTGCGATCCTTGAAAAGGTATATAAATAGATAGCTTAATATAAAACCATTACAAAGCGTCGCTCGCTGCTAGTATTATGCGCAGCTTTGAATTTTCAACCCAGTCATATTGCAATGCTAGATTTTAAGATTTGGTTTTAGATTAATTCAGGCTAAAATAAAAAGTTTTCCTACACATCCGCCTTGTTCATTCATTCTCTTCCTGAACTGGTCTCGTGCAGTCAACAACATGAATTTAGTGACACGTTGAGGATCTTTGTTCCACAACACTCGTTGGCAAAACAGACGGCCCACAATGGCTTCAAGGATCTGTAAAAAAAAAGTAGTTATAGTTTTATTCATTCAACTCCAAGAAGTTATAAAATCATCACATTTCATTATCCTGCAAATCATTTGAATTGTTAGGATAAATACATTTATAAGCTAAAGGTTAATACCTTAATATCAAACAACAATTAAGTTAAAGTAATGTGAATGAATGAAAAAGAAAATGAATGACAGCTGAAAGCTAGAATTGCTGATCTGATATCGAAGTTTTCAGAAAGAATTCTACAACATTCTAAAATATATTGATAGCTTCCAACTGTTAAGGACAAGAGAAAATAATTATACCAGGGAAAGGCCCAAAGAGCACCTTGAATCTGAAGTTGTACATGACCATGAATTACCAGGTACCTTACGGTTTTTGTCTAAGAAATCTGACATGCCCTGTGCTTAACAGTTGTCATAAAAGTCAAGTCTCACAAGCTTCCATAAGACAACAGTAAATCACCTGTTGCCCACAGTCACTGTTAATGCACAGTCCTGAATCTGCAAATTTTTTTCTGAACTCTGAATGAGCCATAACCTTTCCTAGGCAGCTAGTTAGTGGGTATGAGCAAAAAAAGCATGGCAAGGAAGGGAAAAACAAGATATAAAAAATCAAGATCTCATTCACCCTGCAAGCAGGCTAGCATTTTGCTGCAGCATGACAGGCAAAGACATCAGAGAGTTTCTCCTACAATACTGGATCTCATCATAATAATTAATTTATTTACATGGGCATCATTAACTAAGGGAGAATCTAATGTACCTTCAGATATGAACTTTTTACTTTAGCAATATCTTCCCCAAGAGAGACAACCACTTTTTCAACCTGCCGACTGTGTGTATAGGGCTGAATATCAGGGGACTCTTCAGAGCGCAGCTCCATGTGCGAGATCAAGAGGTTAGTGATGACTTGTTGAACAGCCTACAATCAAAGTAAGGAAAGTGAGAGAGAAGCAGCTCAAGGTAATGACAGTAACTTTAACCCTTTAATCCCTGAGAGTGACAAACATCTAATTTCTCCCTACAACATCACCCCTGAATCAAACATTAAGGTTATGAGAATAAAGGAAATGACAATCAACTGAAGAACCTCTTGATTGTTAAACAAATTCTCCTTGCCAGCACATTAGGAAATGTGTAGAGAACAGTATGAAGAATAAGCATACTGATGTTAGGGCAAGATTGGGGTCTGATGTAAACTGAAGTTCCTAAGCACCAGTTTGCCTCCTTGAAAAAAAGTCATGATGAAATTCCTTTTGTTTTGCATTAGAATTGTTGAGCCTCAGATATCAATGAAGCTTCAAGGAGAAAAGCACTGTCACTAGGGGTGGGTAGAACATCAAAAGTATTATTGATCTTAAAAATCCTCCACCCCTCAAAATTATTACATTGGACTGCCCTGCAAATAAGTTAGACTGTTTTTTCAATAGTTTATATATTTATGTTTTTAACATAAATGCTGTTTCTATTGATTTCCTTTTTTACCTCTAGATCATCCCCAGGTGTTGCACTGAGAGCAAGAACTCTAAAATTCCTGTTATAGCCAGAGATTTCCCTTACAACCTGAATGGAACATAATACAACTTACTAACAAGAACACAATGTCATATTTAGGCCTTCTCCTGAATTAGATGTTTTATAAAAACACAAAAAAAAGACTGAAGGGTATCAAGTAAGTATATCAGCATCCTAGTAACACTAGTGTTGGCAAAAAAAATCTGTCACATATGCATGTGCTTGTCCATGTGAACTAAATAGTACAATCATGTTTTTTCTTTCCTTTACCTGACAGTAAGCATGATTTCCAAGAGCTTTATGAGCTTCATCAGCAACAAGAAGGATAACTTCTTCAGCTTTGCATGATCCACGAATCAGATCATTTTGCAGAACTTGTGGAGTTAGAAAGAAAACTCTTCTCATCCTCCACAAAGACTGCCGTTTATTAGGAGCCATGTTTCCTGAAAAGGTTGGAGAGCATTAGGTTCGAAGCTAAGTTGCTGAGCTAACTAAAATAAACCAGTTCATAATTCATGTAATGTACCTTGACAAATAAATTAACCAATAAGTGTGATGTCAAAACAAAAAAAAAATGTCAAACCTCACCGGTCATTTCTGCTGTGTCACTCTGCGGAATACCCATGATTTTATAGCACGCTTCAATCTGTTGTGCAACCAGTGGTTTAGTGGGAGCCATAAATATAACCTTTCCCTGTGGGTACCATCGAAAGAAATTGTACATAACAACAGCAGCAATGAAAGTCTTCCCCAATCCGGTTGGTAAAGTAACTAAGGTGTTCTTATAAAGAGCTTTCTCAACAATATCGAACTGATAATTCCTTATAGGATAATTTGTCGGGTAAATCCAAACATTTCCAGCCTCGACATCAAAACCTGGAATAATTTCAACTTCGTCGGATTTCTCGGTGATGTTATTGGCGTTCACTTCACAGCCCCCACTGTATTTCGCTTCAAACGCAACTTCGTCGAAAGGAAACATTCCTTCTGCAGCAGCCAGTAATTCATCATCACCGTCATCATCTCCTATCTCTATTAAATCTACAGCATCGTTGTGAACTTGACTTTTGATTGCTCCAGGCGTCTTCGAATTTGTACTTCTCAACGAGGTAGATTGAGCTGGTCGTCCCCAACTCTGGAACAACGTGGCTTGACACACGTTGGACTTTTTCATTCCGCATCCTATAACTTAAGGAAAGGATTAACAAAACTTGATCCTCTTTAAATGCTATATTTTGGCGACAAAATGAAACAATCAGGACATACATGATTCTTTTTCGCCAAGGCTGCCATTTTGATTTTGCCGGACTAAAAATGGCGCGCTACGGTCATGTGATGCAAATCATCCAATTACTAATCTCAAAATTGGAACTAAGTACCAGCTTACTTCGAGCTTCGACCGCAGGGACAACGCTTCACAAGCAACTCACCCATGAAAACATTATATTTTGCCGCAAATTACGCTCAAAATTTTTCTTCATGCTCAATTAAATAAGTCAAAATAATAGTTTTTAAGCGCCTCTAGACCTCCCCTCCCCAATTCCTACCAACAACTGGGGTCGTTAGGAGTAAAAGACAGACGGAAGCTCAGAACAAGACACTTAACCGGATCAAGTTTCTAAAGTGCAAGTAAAGAAAAGAGGCCAACTAGTGACATATCTCTGGCTGCAGAATTTACCTCGTGATGCCTTAGCTTAGCAGGGACATCAGTAAGGGTTCACGGTTTACGGTCAAGTCCAACTTTCTAAACGTTTCAAAGGCTTAAACCTTTGTTTATCTTCAGTAGTGAATTATATAATTTGAAGATTTTAAAAATAACTTGATAGAATTAACACTGAATTGTTATTGCGTTGCAGAGGGTTTCTAAGAGCTCCACAGAGATCAAAGTCTGCCCCGTGCATTTCAATGTTTTTTAGGAGGGGTTTTACACGACTGAAAACAATGTTAATAAGGTCCTAAGAATACACTTGACAATGAATATTTTTTTGATGGCCAATATTTTTAATTTATTCAAAGCAATGAAAACAACAGCTGAGAAAATAAAGGCAGTTTTCGGTTTTATCATTCTATGCGTAGAATTTTTATTTTTCGAGGCCAAAAAGAGAAAGATTTTCGGATGTGCATGGGATCTCATCTGCGTTCTGCGGTTCTTCTGATCTTTTTAGAACGGAATATTTCTATTTTCAAAATCAATTCATGTTATTTGTTTTGATGCAAATAGATATGACACAATTTCTAGACTTGACTAGACAAGTGTTACATAAATCTATCTTTAGGGGCAGCGAACTTCGTAAACAAAAATCACGATAAAAATCGGATCTAAATTGAAGGCAGAATTTTTTAAAATCTTTAAATGACTATTGTGCTTTGACCTGAGGTGTGATTTTACATGTCTTAACACGTCAACACCTTCCTGACTTTTAAGCCAGGAAGGTGAAAAAAAAAAGGCGACAGCGCCAATTTCTATTTCAAAATAACGTTCAAATTTCCAAAATTCTACCAAAAACACCATCCATAAACAATCGAAATTCAAATTAGGAATGACAATAGTTCGGAATTCTCTCGATTTTCTGGAAAGCTGAAATTTGTGGCAAAAATTGGCGGGCTTTTCCTTTTAAATTCAATCTCGACTAAACAACACCTCTGATTGGCTAGGTACAATATCAACTCGGCTCTCATTGGTCAAGGAAACAACCGCGAATAGATATTTTCCGACTAGGACCTATTCGAATCGAGACTCGTGATTTGAGAACCTCTCGATCATCTTATTCGAGCAAGATTTGATCTCAAGTTCGATCTTGCACAAGTTATCACAGGAAGTAAGTTCGACGTTTCCTTGCATTCTTCTCGGAGTTTAACGTTTCTCGGAAATCCGCAAAATCGCCCATTTCCTCTGTAGTGTTATAACGCCACACACGGCGCTTCCCATTCTGCCAACAAGCACCAATTTTTATACTCGTCGGACTATCGTTTTTTTTAATTTTTTATTTTTAAAGGACGAATTTACTAAGAGGAAGGACTTCCTGTTTTTCACTTGTGCGTGATATCGCTGTGAAGATGTGCTCAGCATGAGATCTACGGTAAACAGTTGACGACTGCTGAAAGGCAGCGTCCCGACACAAAGCCGAGTCACGAGAAATCATGTATCACCGTTAACCGAGCAGTTTGAGTGAAAACACCGCTGCTGGAACAGTAGACAATCTTTTAGAGTTCGTTCAACAATAATGGCACCCTAGTGAGACCTTGTTTGATTTTATTTGTGTCATCCTTTGGAGCTGGTGTAGGAAGCAAACGTCGTGGCTGTGGACTCCACAATGGCTTCATTGAAAGTGGCAGTCCGTGCTCGTCCGTTAAACAACAGGTGAGTTGCAGAATTACTCTTTAATGTTGTTTTATTTTACTTTTATTTCGATGCAACTTTAGCTGAATATGAGCTACTTACTACTTTTCTTGCCTCAATTTCTATTATTAGGGAATTAGAGCTCGGATCCAAATGCATAATTCAAATGGAGGGACAGAAGACGACGATATTCAACACGAAGGTAATAAGTAATGAGGAAAACTGCGATATTTTTAATTTTTTTAAAAATACATCCCTACACGAGTCCAACAAAAGTTTTAAGTCTTCACGACTTAGAATGACATCCTAGTTTCTAACAGCGCTTTGAATAAGATTCCATATTTTACTCGTGACGTGTTCATTATCACAAGATCTACCAAGTCGCTTCAATTCTTGGAAGCGGTCACGAGTAAGGTCTTGAACTTATGTAAACAAGTTCTCTATCTACTGTTCGAAACACCGGGATTTATTTTGTTTTACAACATAAATGGCATTTTATCCATTCACAAATAAACCAGAAGAAATTCGATTAATATTGTTCCTCGTCGAAGAAATCGGCGGGATTTTGGTAATGACTCTGACTACCGCGTTTCGGAAGTGCTCCGAACGTTTGTCCTCAACCGCAGTATATTTGAATAAGGGCGTTTTGAAGTTTCTAGAGTTCCAGTTGATCATTTATTTGTCATCTATTGAAGCAAAGTTCAGGGCTAGGCTAATTTTGTAATCATGAAACGCGCGATGCGTTTATGTACGAAATTCAACCCAGAAACACTCTTTGGATTTATCAAAACGTTGTTCACCTGACAATATGAGATTCGCGAAGAAACTTCAAACCTGGCCTTTTTCTCAATGCAGAAACTGCGTCGCAGTGCTCGAAAGCAAAGAATAAAAGATTTATGTCTAAGTTAGAGCAGTGTACTTCGAATCTGCTTGTCTGCTTATTATAAAGTCTAATTGTTTTGTCGTTCATTTCAAAGATGGATACCCATGGGACTTTTTCCTGCTGTGATTTTAAACACGCCATTCAGTTTCTTTGCAAACACCTAGACCTTTTCAATTTCTTTGTCTGCCATGTTTCTTTTCTGACTGCTAATTTTTAGTTCTAAGTTTATTTTATTAAAAGTTAAAGATAAGAATGCACTCAGTTATGCCCAGGTATAGAATGTAATGGTTAATATTGCTTTTGACAGTAATTATTTGTTTGAGGGGAAATTTGAGTTGCATATAAGGACTGGTAATTGCTGACCTTCATCCCTTTGTGATACATTTGTACATGTGTTAATCACACTTGGGTTCAGGTCACATTTCAATTTTACAACATGGCTATGTGATCTGATTTTTGAAAAACCATTAATTTCATATATGGAGATTTTTATTCCTTTCTTCTAGATAAAAATTATCACACATAGAGATTCTGTGACAGTTATTCCACTTTTAACTTGCAAAATTGTTACAAATGATGTCAGGGTGTCAGTGTAATTGATGTCTAAAATTCCTGAGTGTCTAGAATTAAATTTGATTATCAAGTGTGAATGAATAGTTTTTTTCATGGCTTGAAATTGTTTCCTTTGCCATGACAGAGGGCAATCCTGAAATATCAGTTAACTTAACCCTTTGACTCCCAGAAGTGATTGACATACAACTTTTCTCTTATATATATATATATATATATCTATATATATATTATCCAGCAAATAGGTAATGAGAATACTTAGATTTATCCTATCAAAGTTGTCATCTTGATCTAACATCAAATTCTTGTCACTAATTTACATGGAAAAGTGTAACAGTTAGAGAGGAGAATTAACAATCAAATCTTGGAGTTAAAGTGTTAATGCATCTTAAATCTTAAATCTTAAATCTATATCAGAGTCAGTATATTTATTTGGTGATCTCATAAAATTTTCCTTGCCTTTTGATCCTAATTATTTCTGGTGATGAATAATAGTTCATGCTTTATACTACTTACTCTCATGAATGAAGGTTATCTTTCAACTGGATTTTGAGCAACTGAAGGGCACAGGGGTGTTGCTACTTCCTGTTTATACAAGTTGTTATAGATCATCCTTTCTGCCCCTCCTGTCAACCCTTCCAATCCTCCCACCCCCACCCCTTTCATAGTTGTATGTCATGTTTCCCTAGCCATTTATCACTACTTATTTATACTCCTGGGTGGAGAGAGAGGGGGAATGTTAGGGTAATAAGTGTCTTGCCAAAGAAAATAATACCATGATCTGGACTTTAAACTGTCTAAACATTTGAGTGACACAGGTGATATATGTTTTTTATTCCCCAGTTTTTTCTGATTATTATTTACTTGATGTAATGCAGACTTAAAAGCAGCTGAACATTACTTTTTATTTTGATTAGGAATAATAACATTCCAAATGGTAGATTGCATGTAAAATGGATTGATGGTTGGGAGAAGCATTTCTTGCAGATATGTCTAGATGAGGAAAACCAAGAATAGACATTATTATTTGGTGACTCTGATGTATCTTCATAGTGAAATAAATATTTGGAAAAGTTAATATTTTTTTGTGCCATTTAAGCTGTATGGTGAGGTTGGATTGGAAGGAGACAAGTCAAGAGATATCAAGAAGGAATTTATCTTTGATTTCTCTTATTGGTCGGCTGACTCTAATGATTCACATTTTGTTTCCCAAGACCAGGTATGTGCAAAAAGTTTGAAATTGATATTTTAGGAGGACACGCTGTGTAATCAAACATGCATGGGTTTGTCAATATGACAATAACCAAGATCAGCATGAAATATGTCAAAAGTTCTATGAAATATGCACTATCACCAATATTATATTAGCTTCATAACTGTTAACATGTAGAGTAACTTTCTTTTTTTGCAGGTTTTCAGTGACCTTGGTCAGGGAGTTTTGGAATCAGCATTTGAAGGTTATAATGCTTGTTTATTTGCCTATGGTCAAACAAGTGCTGGGAAAACTTACACCATGATGGGAACAAATGTAAGACAATTATGCTTTGCACAAATATTTGAACTCTTTACAATTACTCAATGCTAATCAATATGTAACAGTTGTACAATATTATTTAATGAGTTCAAGTGTGTTCTAATATAAAAAACCTGTTTTAAAAAGAGTTTTGCGTTAATTCCCACTTTTAAATACCCTTAACCATATATTCAAATGAAAGCCTTTCAACCCATGAGATACATACTGTTATAATATTTATTAAATTTGGGTAACAACTCAGAATTAAAATGATAATAAATGCATTCTGGGGTATACTCTCTTTAACAAGTCTCCCCTCCCACTCCTACCCCACTGCCCTGGAAACTGATACACTCCACCCCTCCCCAGTCACTTTTTAGAGCACTTTTAGCAGTTCCATTCAGATAATTTAAATTAATGTCTTGACCTTCAAAAGTTATTATGTTGTAATGACAGAAAGGTTTTCTCAAGTTATTAACTCTATAAGATTTTCTATTTGATTTAAAAATTTTTTTATCTGTAGGAAGAAGTTGGACTCATTCCCAGAATCTGCAAGGTAATTGTATTATGCTTAGGGCTGTATTAATTTTGGATTTCCACTTGACCATTATAAATGGATTAAATTTAATATAGGGTTTATCAATAGAAACAAAATAACTCTCAGTTATAGACTGAAAATAAATGGGGTAAGTTTCTAAAGAAACTGTGATGCAGGGTTGGTGGGGCAGAATAACAAGATAATTTGGTTTAATTAATTGAGCTGATAATGGAAAATGGTCTTCATAAAGGTTTTCTTAGGCTGATGTTTTAGGTATGTGCCCTTCAAGAATATATGACCTCAAGTTCAGCCAGTATGAGACCTCATTTAACTGTGCAAAAACATGAAAGTCCATACAAGTTAATTGTTTTTGATCCCAGTTTTTGCATCTGACTCAGGCCAAGGGGATGGCACAAGATAAATCAGAGAGTACACCACACCGAGGCCTGAGAAATTTAACATCTGTATAACATTTTATTCCTCACAGGGATTATTTGAATACATTGGCCAGAACACATCTCTGAGTTCATCATTCAGAACTGAAGTGAGGTAAGCACTGACTTACTGATATCATTTAACACTTTAATCTCTGAGAGTGACAAACATCTAATTTCTCCCTACAATATCACCCCTGAATCCAACATTAAGGTCATGAGAATAAAGGAAATGATATTCAACTGAAGAACCTCTTGATTGTTAAACAAATTCTCCTTGCCAGCGCATAAGGAAATGTATAGAGAACAGTATGGAGAATATGCATACTGATGTTAGGGTGTAAAGGGTTAAACTTCAATCCTAATTATCAACACTGTATTCAGAGTTATATATCCCCAATAAGACACTTTTTCTGTCACACACACACACCCCCCCCCCCCACCATGCAAACAATTTACATCAGTGTGGCTTTTTATTTATCTTGCTTTCAAAATTGTTGAGCCCTAAAACAGTTAAGAATAACGTTTTTAAAAAAATGGGGGGGGGGGAGGTAGGGTAATGGGAGGGGAGGGGAAAGAATGTACATAGCAGGAAATTAAAAGATTACCATACTCATACTCAATTATTATGTTTTATTGTTGTTGCAGCTATCTTGAAATTTATAATGAAAATGCCCGTGACCTGTTGAGGCCGCAGAAGTTGAAGAAGCTTCCTCAGCAGAATTTAAAAGTGCGTGAACATCCTAAAGAAGGGCCGTATGTGGAAGGTAACAATTAAAACACATTATTCACGTTCATTAAATTGCGTTAAGTTGTTTACATTGAATTAGGGCCACATGAATGAACTCTCTTTGTTTTTCACTTTCTGCAGGGTTGACAAAGCAACATGTTTCTGACTATGATTCAATTGAAGTTCTTATGGAACAAGGGAACAGGCTAAGGTTTGTACGTTAGAGCCACTGGGGTTGATCTGCTATTTCAAGCAACTTATCTCGAAAAAATTACCCCAGAAAAAAAATTCAGGCTTTTTTCACCAATTGCTAAGCTCTGCTGTATACGTTTTTACAATTGTGAATTCCACTTATCACTTACTTTGACTGACCGCTGACGAACAATTGTAGGCTGTGAGTAGCTGTTGTTTGTGGTCTCAGTGGTAGTTAATTTAACAGCAGGAAGCGTGAATTTCACCTATCACTGACTTTGACGGACCTATAATTGTAGGCTGTGAGTGGCTGTTGTTTGTGGTCTCAGTGGTAGTTAATTTAACAGTAGGAAGCGTGAATTTCACCTATCACTGACTTTGACTGACAAACAATTGTAGGCTGTAAGTAGCTGTTGTTTGTGGTCTCAGTGGTAGTTAATTTAACAGCCAACACAGAAACAAGCCAGCTAAAAACCTGTCACAGCGAAACGACAAAGGGCTGATGCTTGAAACGTTAGCTGTAAGGAAATTCTTCACGATGGCCGATTTACATTAACAACTCAGACGATAAAACCAAATTATCCTACTTGTCAATCAGTTCATTTTACCTCACTTCTACAACAGTCAGATATTTTTTCAAAGTTTTTTTTAAGGAATGAGATATAGCCCTGCCAGAGACCTTTCTGTTACATGAAAATATCCTCCTGTTAACTGTGTATTTTCTCTTTCAGAGCAACTGCTTCAACAAAGATGAACAATACTAGCAGTCGTTCACATGCAATTTTTACAATCAAATTTACTCAGGTAGAGAAGAAAATCGCAAGAATTTACACAAAGACTTAACCAACTAGGACTAAATTTATTATTAATTTTGTTGTGATTGTATCAAATATTTTTCAGGCCAGGTTCATGGGAGATATGCCCAGTGAAACGATAAGCAAGATACACTTAGTAGATCTGGCTGGCAGGTTTGTCTCTCTACATATCTCCGTTCCTTTTCTTCAGGTGCAGGTAGTAAATGTTCCTCCAACTTATAACTTGTCTTGGTTTCATTTTCTAGTGAGCGAGCTAGTTCGAGTGGCGCTGCCGGTGAAAGGCTTAAAGAAGGAGCGAATATCAACAAATCCCTCGTTACATTGGGGATTGTTATTTCCACTCTTGGTAAACAAAGCATTCTTTTTATTTTTGCATAGATGACAGGTCTTATTAGGCAGTTCTTTCATTGGAATGCAGAACCTTCGCCAAGAAATCATCTTCTATTTTCAATGACTCTACCAGACTTCGCGTATCAAAATTTTTAATGCCTGTAAGAGAATTCGCCATAACTTAATCTCTCATCAGCAGGAACAAATGCTCAACCGGCTTAATGGTGGTAAATTTACCAAACTGTACTTTTCTTTTAGCGGAAAACTCTATCAATGCATCTTCATCTGGATTCAAGCGCCCTTCGTTCAGGAAGAAGCTGTTCGTACCTTACCGTGATTCTGTCCTCACGTTTCTCCTCAAGGACAGTTTGGGCGGAAACTCTAAGACCGTCATGGTTGCAGGTTGGTTTCTTATGGGGAAGATTTGATTTTGTTGTTAATTTTGCATTCCTTTGTGTGCGATCAATTTGTAAATGAACGTTTGTTTTTGTTCAGCCATTTCTCCTGCTGAATGCAACTACGGTGAAACGCTCAGTACTTTGCGGTATGCGCATCGAGCAAAGAGCATCATCAACATGCCGACAATAAACGAGGTAAACACTTCCTAAGTTACGGTTAGTTTGCATATTTTATGGTGAAGGGTTGTTTAATATTTTGAAGCAAGTCACCGCGCAGGTAATAGTAAGCGCGAAGAATCGTGCAGCTTTTTCCAAGCGCGGGAAATCAAGCAGCTCATGCAAATAACTATAGCCTTTGGGCAGGGTGGAGAGTGGTTCCACTCTCTCTTCACCCAGCTTGGGGCTGGTGCAAATTGCTAGAAAATCACTGCGGCTGATCGAAGCCATCACTTGCCAACGTATTTTCCTCGCATACTTGAGTTCAGCTTTTTTTGATATTGAAAGTAAAGTTGTTTCGCTCGGGCTCCCATAGAATAGTTGAGAAGTTTCGTTTTCATAAATTCTAAGATTTTTTAAATTCTTTACTAGGATCCGAACGTCAAACTCATCCGGGAACTTAGATCTGAAATCGAGCGTCTCAAAGCCCTAATACGAACTTCCGGAACGGGCGATGAGGTAAGTTTAGCCACTCTTCGTGAATTGTTCTCAATGATACCAGCATCGTTCAGTATTTAACGCTAATTCCTTATATTTTCTGCTAGAAAAAGTCCTTAAATGACCCCATGAAAGTCAATCAGAAACTTCAAGAAAATCAGGCGCGCGTCGAACAGCTGACGAAAGATTGGACCGAGAAGTGGAAAGAGGCAAAATCGATCATGCAGGTGGGTGGGGAGGGGTCGGTTAGATTTGTAGGGAGCTGTCTAGCTTTGATAGCGAGGTAATTAGATCTTCTATGAACTCGACAGTGTGTTTTGTTCTTTTTTAAAGTGAAGATTAAAAAAACTAGGCGATTACGTCACGAGGATTAACGATCATTTTGCGTTTTATTTTTTATTTTTTAGGAGAGCGAGTTACAGCTTCGGCGTCACGGATCATGCGTGGTTCTCGTTGATCTGGAGCTCCCTCACTTGGTTCGCTTGGAGGAGGATCCACTCAGAACAGAGATAATGCTGTATCGTGTTATGGTAAAAAAATAACTGTGTGCAAATCAAGACAAAATAAATTTTTCTTTATAAAGTTGACGCTTTGATTGTCAGCCCAATAAAACTGTGGAAAGGCAACAGGCCCAATTTTCTACGCCAAATTGATTTTGTTTCTTCTGGAATATTATTTTCTGTAGCATGGAAAAACACATATTGGACGAGAAGATGCGCCAAACCCGCAAGATATCGGTAAGTCCACGATATTAGACGATGTAAACGCGTGTAATGAGATTTTTACGTTATTCGCTAACAGTTCTCTCGTCTGCTTTGCAGCCATTCAGTTATTAAAACCGAGTTCTGTGAAAAGTGCTATGTTTAGAGGTAAACCATCTAGATGCTGATGTTACTTTTCCTTTTTCCTAGTTCTTGAAGGCGAAGATATCGACAAAGAACACTGTGTGCTGGATTTTGTCAAAGGGCGAGTCACGTTTGAGCCGATTTCTTCATTGTGTTGGGTAAACGGGGTGGCTGTGTCTCAGCCAACGAAACTAAACCAGGGTAAGTTGAATTTGTTCTCCTGTGAAACATCTTTGAGGATTTTGTCTGTGATCAAAATCCCGCCAAGCTGAGAGCTTCTTTTTTTTAGGTTAATGTAATTCGGTCGCATATTAAGGAAATACTAGATTTTTTCCCATTATCATATTTTTGTGTCTGTAAATTTCTTCATCTCCAAGTAGAATTTTCTTGTTGATCATTGTTTACGCAGTGATATTTAATTATTGTAGAGTAAACGAAACCAAGCACTGCACATCATTTCTCGTAGGTGATGTTATTGTTCTTGGCAAGAGCGATGTGTTCAAATTCAATTTTCCAACCGAAGCAGCAAAACTGAGGGAAAAACGGCGCTCTGCTCTGTACACCACGGTGAGTTTTTCTCCCTATATCCGATGGCTGATTGTCCTCTCTGGCTGCTGCACATATGCTAAAAAATGAAGGGCTTAACATCGAAAAAAAAATACACAATCACGTAATCGCACAAGCTGTAGAGCGAGATCATTCCCGCGCGAACACGCAAGATGACTGCAAGAAAGAAGGAACTCGTGCGCTTTCTTGGAAGAAACGACAGAATCGTAATGGTCTTTCTTTTTCGCCCCAGGAATCGACCGAGTCTTTGACTAATTTACATACCTCACCTGTCCGTGGTAGTCATGGAGACCTGAGTGTGAGATCCGATTCCTCTTCACCGATGACTTTGGACTCTGGGTATGAAGTTTATTCCGTGAATCTTGCAAGCTTGTTTTAATCTAACACAAAAATCAAGAGAGGGGCATCGAGAGATAACTCATCATTATTCTAATTTCTTTCAGTGTTGAAATCGATCTTCCAGGGCCAGATTCTTTAGAGGAAATAAAGTAAGTTGAATTAGTTTCTTTTAAATTCAATCTGAAACTGGGATTCAATCGGGAAACTGTTGAAAAATATCCTCCTCTCTAACGCACCCCTCCTCCGAGGAAGGGAAACTTTGAAAGTGCTTTTTTAATTTTTTTTTGTATCAAAATGTGAATAGTTTTAGTTTCCGGGATTTCTTACGCCAGGGCGAAACTAGCTGTTCATCTAGGCTGTACCTCTAACGGTGTACATCGCTATCTATTTTTGCAGAAATCAAGTGACAGATTTAATCGCCAGACACAAAGAAGCAGAAGTCAGGCGGCTGGAGATAGAGAAAACCTTCCAGACTGAAATCGATAACAAGCAGAAAGAGATTGACAACCAAAAAGAGCATATTCAGACATTGCGCGAGATTCACGATGGAAAATCACATAAAGCGCGCGAGGATCTGGAAGAAGTTCGACTTAACATGGACAAGAAGCACGAGGATTCGAGGAAAGAGATTGAGAAGCAGCTGGAGGATCTGTTCGAAATGAAACTTAAACAGTGTAGAGAAGCCGAAGAAGCCGCGGAAGAAATAGCAAAGGAGAGGGAAGAGGTGGCTCGTTTTATGGAGGGAGAATGGCAGAAGGTTGTTCAATATGAAATTAAATTGGCTGACATTGAGCTGCACCGGCGGAAATTGATTGCTCAAGCGGAGATCGAACGAGTCCGTCAAGAGGAACTTCATGCGTTGGAGATGGAGAATGATTTAAAAGGATTGGAAGAACAACAAGTCGAGTTGTTAGAGTTACAAGAGAAACTTGAAATAGCTAAGGCTGAAGCTGAGGGTGAATTAAATCGAGATAAACTGACCTTAGACTCGACTCTTGCTGAAAATCTAGCCGAACTCGACGAGTTGGAACAAAAAATCCAGCTAATAGCAGAAAAACATGATCAGTATATGACTTTCCTAAGCTCTGTAGACGATTCAGTGGGCTCGGAGGAAAATTTTGACGAAAGAACAGTTACCAAGGTTGACTATAGTGACGAGACACGGAGAATTTCAGACGCTGGTTTGACATCTAAAACTGTAGCTTTGGACTTGCGGCAACGCAGACGAGCCAGTTGGAATTTTCCATCCAGAAAATTGTCTGTCTCAGAGGGAGCTAACGACGATGCAGTGACACAACAACTGCAAAGATTGTTTGAGCTTAAAAACGAAAAAGAGGAGATAATCGAAAAGACACGCAGTGAATTAACGCGTGAGATCACAAATGTCGAGTTCTATGGACGGCAAATTCTGGAAAACGAGGCTAAAATAACTGAACTCGAAGAAATGTACAAAGCATCTCGTCAACAACACGCAGAGAAAATTCGTCTGTGTTTGGAAAGCTTAAAAATTAAAGAAGAGCAAGACATTGCTATGGTAGACCAAGATCGTGAACGTTATGTGGAACTTTTGTGTAAGGAATATGGCGAGATTGAAAGTTTAATTTCAGAGACATTTGAATCTTTGAATTCCAGCGATACGCTGGAAGGGGAAACAACAAGCGATGTCAGAATAAATGATGAAAAGAAACTCGAAGTTCTAAATTTAGTGAAGAAAAGATTAAGGCAAATTGGTAGCGACGAAGATGTCTTATTCCTTGAATACGTCGCTAAACGAGCTCACTTTGAGAAAGACGAAGACAGAGTTCACGAGCAGCAAAGAAAGATCTCAGAGAAGATGATGGATGGTATTAAAGAGAAAGAAGTCGCTCTGCTGAAACTGTCAGGACAAAAGGAACGGTTCCATGTGGAAAGAGCCAGAGAAAGGCGACTAATTACTTCGCGTATAGGAAGGCTGTCTCGTGTGAAGTCATCTGGTGATC